CTGGTTTAGTCCCTGGTTTAGTCCTGGTTTAGTCCTGGTTTAGTCCCTGGTTTAGTCCCTGGTTTAGTCCTGGTTTAGTCCTGGTTTAGTCCCTGGTTTAGTCTGGTTTAGTCCTGGTTTGTCCCTGGTTTAGTCCCTGGTTTAGTCCCTGGTTTAGTCCTGGTTTAGTCCCTGGTTTAGTCCTGGTTTAGTCCTGGTTGAGCCAGTGTTTACTCTTGAATTATTTGTTGTGCCTTGGACCTAATTGAGTCCTGGTTTAGATCTGGATAAGACCTGGTTTGGTCCTGGTTTAGTTTAGACCTGGTTTAGACCTGGTTTAGTTTGGATTTGGGTAAGACCTGGCTGAGTGCTGGTTTGGTTCTGGTTTAATACTGGTTAGTCAAGTCTTGGTTGAGACCTGGGTTGGTTCAGTCCAGTTTTAGTCCTGGTTTAGACTAGTCTTTAGGGTGGTCCTGGTTTAGACATGGTTTAACCCTGATTTAGTCCAGTCCCGGTCTAGTCCTGGTCTAGTCCTGGTTTTTATTCCCTTTTTTTTTTTCCCCCTGGTTTAGTGCCTGGTTGAATCCTGGTTCAGCCCTGGTTTAGACCTGGTTCAGTCCTGATTTAGTCCAGTTTTAGTCCTGGTTGAGACGTGGTTTAGCTCTGATTTAGTCTAGTCCTGGTTCAGACCTGGTTTAGTCCCTATTTTAGTCCCTGGTTTAGTCCTGGTTCAAGTCCTGGTCTAGACCAGGTTTAGCCCTAGTTTAGCCTTGATTTAGTCCCTGAATTAGTCCTGCTCTAGTCCTGGTCTGGTCCTGGTTCGGTCCTGGTTCGGTCCTGGTCGGTCCTGGTCGGTCCTGGTCCGGTCCTGGTCCTGGTCCGGTCCTGGTCCGGTCCTGGTCCAGTCTTGTATTAAACATAATTCTTGGATGTTTTGAGACACTTTTCTCTTTAATTCCTCTTTGATCTAAATCCTGTGTTTCCCTCAGACAAAAACAGCAGCTCGGAGGCTTTGCTCTCGACCAATCACATCTCTCCGTTCAGCCTCGGCCAATCAGAAGCCTTGTTTTTCTCCTGTTACCGCAGAAGGATATACAGCCCTTTCCATCACGTTATGTCACCACCGCACAAACCCCCAACACACACGTCTGAATTATGGATGTTTTCAAGAGACTCTGAAAGCTTTTAATTAAAAACAAAAGAAATATGAGCTTATAATTTATTACTTTTGGAGAATATAGTGAATAATGTGTCGAAAAACACAGAAAAATAAATGGAAGACAAATTTGTTTCATCAGATTTTAGAATTTTAAATGCCGTTCAACTTCTCACTGTGAATTTTTTAACATGTTTGAATTATTTTTATTCTGAATTTTAGTTGCTGGAAATTTAAGTTTACATTTTTAGTGTTTTAGTGTTTAAAATACAATATTAAAAAAATGTATAAAATAAATTTATTATTTTAAATGTTTAAATATTCAGCACAAATATTTCCAAGCTCTCAAATTCAAGAGTCAAAATTTTGAGTTTTAAAATTTGCAGTCTACGCTCCGGATTCTGACGCTCTGGATTCTGACGCTCCGGATTCTGACACTCCGGATTCGACGCTCCGGATTCTGACGCTCCGGATTCTGACACTCCGGATTCTGACGCTCCGGATTCTGACGCGACGCTCCGGATTCTGACGCTCCGGATTCTGACTGACATTCGACGATTCGACCGGATTCTGACGCTCCGGATTCTGACGATTCGACGCTCGGATTGACGGATTCGAAATTCGATTCTGACACTGCGGATTACGCTCCGGATTCTTACACTGCGGATACAAAATTTCAGCAACTAAAATTAAGAATAAAAATAATAAAATTCAAAACATCTTTGTTCAGAGTTTAAAAATTCAAACTGAGAAATTCTGCGGTATTTAAACTTCAAAATCTAATCTTTGTTTTGTGTCGCTTTTTGTTTGTTTTTTGTTTTTTTTTTACATTTCATTTTAAATCCATTTTAGGCCAACAATAAATAAAGCTGAAATAATGAGAAATTTTTAACTTCTTGTATAAAATTCTCAGATAACCTCTAGACCCCAGACACGTGTTCGAGGTTGGAATGTCAAAAACGCAGAAGAGACGATGACAAAATCTCTTAAAATTGGAGTGATTAGTGGAGGGGTCACAACTGGAGAGCCGGATCTTCGTCTATAAGCGTCCTCATGCATATTCATGAGTTATGTTAATTTATTCGTACATTTGTGTGCACGTTATACGCATATTAATTTGGTTAATCACCCGCTAAATGTCCTGAATTTATCTGAAGATTGACTGCATTTACTGGATTACATGTTTTTAATGACGTTTAGTGGTTTAGCACCTGGTCTAGTCCTGGTTTAGTCCCAGTTTAGTCCTGATTTAGTCCCAGTTTAGTCCTGGTTTAGTCC